CTCTTCTTAAGTGGTCATTTGTATTCATTCAGTAGATGCAGCATATAAATTTAGATTTGTTTTAGTATATTCCACAGCCATAATAGAATAGAATTTTTAACTTACTATATAAGACAAAACTTTGAATCACAATAGATATTACGATTGACGGGTATGTTCCCTTAATCAAATCTGCTAAAATAAATATAACCGTAAAATGTTTATTCAATATCAGATATTTATCCAAATTAACAACAATAAAGTTTAGAATTAAAAAAAAATACAAAACCGACTACATAACTTTTTCAATGCAGATAACAATAATCAATAACCAATAATCTTATAGAAATAACTTAATACCAGAATAAGGTCTGGTATCTATTGGCGATGAAATATAGTCATTGTTTAATCTGTCCTCAGAAAAAACCGCGTTATTTTCGAACAATGTAACAAGTTTAGCCTCAAGTATACTTTTGATTACTAAAAAAGACTCTTCAAATTCCAAAAAAAATCCTCTGCTAAGTGTTTATACTGTGGTCTTAAACAAATCTTTATATGTAATAAATAAATTAGAACAAATTATCCTTCGAAATTACAATAATCTGATCGACAAAGCCTTTAAAATACGTCTTGATTTACTTTACAATAATGAAATGCTGTAAAATATTATACTGATACCTTAAAATAGCAATTGAACCACAAAAGCAAATAGACATCCATTAGATCTTAAATCAATTTTTTCCAAATCACAACTAGTGTTCATGACTACGAACTAATGCTTTCACCCAATTATATTATATTTCCACATACTATATATTGTATGTAAACAGCAGAACAGTATTTACTTCTAGTTTATCAAGTTTCTGTTTTTACATTGTTCGATAAATGTCCTCTTCCGAGGCTAATGCGTGCGGAGATATTTTTGTGCGCATTTTAATGTTTAAATGCATAAAATTTACATTTCATATTTAGTAAATACGCCTGGAGGCCTTACACGAGGTACTGCGAACTCCAACGGTGGATTCCAAGTGACCAAAACTTAAAACATACAATGTCGTAGATAGAGTCAACAAATCACTACTAAATAACAACAACAACAACAACCAATTGAAAGTTGCATATAGAGAAAATCAGTGTCGGACTTAAATAATAAATTAACAGCAAACCTAAATCGTAATAGCTCCTTACAGTCATTTGAAGCAATGATAATGTTTTCGTACTATGTATTAAGTCCATTCAATTTAACAAATATCAACAGCAGAAGTATATTTTTCGAATTATTATAGATAAATTTATTTAATTTATTTGGCATTCATGAAGAATATACAAAAAAAATAGAAACATGCATTATTAAAATAAATAATTCAAGAAGAAACAATGAATTTTTAAGTTACACTTTAAACCTAAAAAATGTTTAATAATTTTTAAATCTCTTTGAAACCGTGTCCCAGCCTAGTCCGCTACTGTCTTTAGAACCTACGTTGCGGCCTAATACTTAAAATTTGCCAACTGCTTCGTCACAAACAATGGCAGTATTGCACACGCCAAGTTACGTACTTAATGCACTCACAAAGCGACAAACCGACAAACGGACAAAAGGACAAACGCGATTTATCGTGCCAGATAAGCGATAATAAATTAATTAGAAATATTGAAATTGAGGCACAGGATATCGCCGTTTAATGGCAATGATTTGTAGCTGTTGCTCCTGTTTGGCCACTCGCTGCATGGTGCTGCCTCATTTTGCGACATTTGCGACATTTGCAGTGCTGTTTGCTTGTTGTAAAACTTTGTTGACTCCATGTTGGATGCGATTTTTGGCGCTGCCACTGTGTCCTTCTGTCAATTGGGAATGGAATTTAAAATTTTGTGCACGGATTAGCATGTTTGAACTTTTCGGTTATCTCAAGTTGTAGAATTTGTGTTAGTAGCTTGTTCTCTGTTGATTTTAGCTACTGGCAACTACAACTACAACTAGAACGACCGCTTCTGCAATTACGTGTCCATATAGGAAACTGCGTAAAAAAGTAGGTGGAAATGGGTAGTGTGCACTGACTGCTTCACCAACTCTGGCAGTGGCTGTCAATAATCTAAGTGGGGTTAGTGCAATTTAAGCGCTGTTGCGTTTTCGTATCTCATCGAAACGTTCTGAAATATTCAATTAAATTTATGCAAAACATAAACCAGAGCACATTTTATAATTTGTTTGACAAAATTGTAAATTAAAGTAAAATTGCTGTCATAAACTCGAGTACTGTAGCTCTTATCTGGAAACACTGCTCGTAAACTGTCACGAATTTCATGTTTTCATATTTTTTGAATGGATTTTTTTTATTGTCCAGTCTGCTTAAGTTTGCGAAAGTTTTTCTATACTTATATCCCTAAGCACTTACAAAAAAAAATCACAATTTTTTTCTCACACTCCTGCACATAAACGTGGAACTTCATTCTACCTTCGAACAACGCGCCTTGGCTCCTGTAATGTTGCTAAGATGCCTAATTTTTTCCTTGCTTTTAGCCGGTCTAAGAAACTTTTGCTGCTTCCGCTCCTTTTTTTAATAGAATTAAAAAGTTTCAGCCATTTTTTTACCTTTTTATTGGCTTCCTTTTGCTTCATGTTAGTGGCACATTCAGAGCCCGAGACACTGCTTCACCGCTGCCCACAGGAATTTTGCTTAAGGTGGCAAAAGCGCACAAAAACTTTCACAAATTTTTTAAGCACTGATAAAAAATGTTTTTCTGCTAATTGAAAATATCTGTTGGGATCAATTAGACTTGAGCGCTGGAAAGGTGGATGGGAAAGAAGGTGGTGCTCTAGACCACGACTGGGAAGTTGAAAGTTGAAAACAAAAAATCAACTCAGTTAACTGCTATCAGCACAAAGATTTTCAATCGTTTTTTTTATTTTGTGACTTGTTAACTTGGTAAATTGTTGTAGATAAATGGCCACAGAGAAGCAGCTACTTCTGAGCGTGTATAATATATGATATATACTTTACGAACACAATGCAATTACTTTAAGTGTACAACTAAATAAAAAGGTGCATATGCAGTTGAATCAAGAAATTGCGTGACAGCAAAAAATGCAAAGCGGTAAAAACTGCTACTAGCAACTACAACTACAACTTCAACTCATCTATTTTATATTTAAATTTATTGACCTATCAATAGATTAAAGCGTCAAAATAATTTTGCAAACAGTTCCTAACAAGGTATTTGACTATACTTCTCTATAAGTCCCAGAAACGTATATCTCAGTAGTTGCGGTTTTATTTCATATTAAGTTAGTTATTTCCTAACTTCTTGCCATTGATATACCGGCTTTTGTCAGTAGTTGGTTCTCAAACACGTTTTCAATTTTTGTTAAGGTTCTCTTCTTGTATAAACGGATTTTAAAGAATGCTGCTAAGTGTGTTTCCTATATTTATATTTTTTGGAACTCATATGAAACATGCTTATATCAAAGAAATTATCGGAAAACCTCAAATGGGAAATTATTTTAAATCGTTTAGCACTAATCAATAGGCCAATACATTCTTCAAAAAAAACTGTAATAACATTACAAATTCGAGATGAGTAATTAAAGCCTTCTATTATTTACTTCTTTTCTTTACAGTGAAGTTATTGGAACCAATATACCGCTTAAAAAACCAGATTGTCCCACAGCCCTCTCGCCAAATTTCTAATTAATAATAATCAAAAATATTTGTCGGCGAACATAAATCAGTGTTTACCCACAAACATCTCTGGCAAATGCCCCAAAAGCGGACTGCACCGCGTTAGGAAAGACCAACACGATTACGACAAAATGCCTGTTATGCATCAATGTGCACTGCGCATATAATTAAGCCGAAATTGAAAAGTAAACAATGTACTTAATTTGGAAACGACAGTGAATGATGTCGAAACAAATTCCCGAGATACGCTTTAATCTGTAAACCCCGAAAAAAAATGGAAGCATACTAAAATAAACATTGTGTAGACGATCGGTAACTGCGCAGTTGGACTCAGCTGCGTGCATAAGTAAGAAGCATAACGAAATCAGGAGCTGCGCCTCTACTTGCGTAAAGAAATATTTTTCGAAATGGAGACAAACGAGTCTTCAACAGTGAAGATGCTTTTGGGGTAGCGAACCGAACAGAAAAGATCATTCAGCTGTCAAAATCATTTAAGAATTTGAATCATTTAAATATGGCAGTGAGCAAGTGATCAGGGCTGAATTGACGGGCGGAGCTCTTTGCTAAAAACGAGAAGAAATTATTTACATAAATTAGTATTTGTGCCTCTTAAGATACAAATTTGTAGCTTTCGAAATTTGAAGTTCCACAACAATTTGTGCTGTCATCCGGTTGCCGATTTATTCCAAAACTGACTTGAGAAATGTTTATTTTCTTTAAAAAAGAACACAAACGCCCAGGGGCTAATGTGTTTGATTACGAAACTCTTAAGTCACATAATGACTTTTCAGTCTTTTAAGTTTTTTCGATAAATAAATATGAGAACATGTTAAAGTGTGAAAGTAACATATCGTTTGAGTTTTTACTTCTGAACATGGAAAAAACATGTGTGTTCTTTACTTTTTTCGGCTTTCGGTATTCGACATTTAGTATTCTTTGTATTATTTGTCACATGTCCTATATACTGGATGTATTTATTGTCGGGTTCAAACAATTAAAGATACACTCTAGTAAGTATTTTGTAATCTTAGAGCAGCGCCCACTTCAACACTTTTACGTATCCATCATAAGCTAATCAATGCGTCAGTGAATGTGTTTTGAGAGTAACTTGAGCCATTTCTTCAATACGTAGACGGCGCAGTGAATGCAAGTTCATATTCCAGCTATAATATTGCATACAATATTATAAATATACAATGAATGGTTTTTTACTTATATT